GAATTTTTCTTCAAATGTTTGGCGTGTTCTGTTCCTGAAAGATTTACTAATATTCTGGAGATTTTTTTCAAGTTCTTCGGCCTTTTCCTTAGGGAAATTTTGTTTCTTATTTGCTGCTAAAGAATGGCGTCTGATTCAGTCAATGACTTTGATGGAACTAAATGAAAACGTGATAAATTAATGTCCGATATTTACAGGCTCCCGCTAGACGGCGTACTCGAGCGTTGCGATCGCGAATAAAGTAAACTGTATTATTTTAACAATGAACGTATCGTTTTCTTTTATAATTTTTGAATAAATTTATGAATTCTTTAATCGTTTGCTTATTTGTTTTATTTTAGAAATGTCATAAAATGTTTGGACATTTTATCTTTACAAGATTTTGAAAAACTTTTCGACTTCTGTAAAGAATCTTAGTATCTAAAGCACTCGATTAAACTACGATTTTATTTAAATATTTTAAGTAAGTGTTGTTTCTATAACTCTGCGCAAATTCTTTTCGATAAATTATCAATAAGAATTTGTCTATGAACTCAATTCCTTTACTTATTAATTTTATTAAGTATTTTTTGTTTTGTTTCATTTACTGAAATGAACCTTTTGAACCTAGTTACCCAATTTTAAATTTTAAGGTTGTAGTAGGTATCTTTAAAAAAATTTATTTTGAATAGCTTAGAAATCTGTTTCAATTTCAAAAAGTGTAACAACATTAACATTTTAAATTCGGTAACTAGGTTCATTGGAATAAATTTCAATGAATAAAATTAACAAAAAGTATTCAAAAAGATTAATTTGATTTATCATGAATAAGGAAATTTCGTTCGTTTAATTTTTCGTGGGTAAAAGAGTCTTGAAAGTTTTTCCTGAGAAAATATTACATTTTTTTCGAAAAATAAATATTATGTCCTGTTTTATTTTGAGCTATTTGACAATAAGTACTCAAAACTCAAAAAACTTCCTAATTTACAGCAAAAATACTGAAATTCACGCACTGAAAACAGAAAATATACCCATTTTCTAAACTAGAATCTCTCGCGATTTCAGTATTTTGTTTAAAGTTATTTATTCAAAGTTTTGTATTTAAAACTGTTTCTCCCTATTCAAATTTTTTCACCAAAAGCGCAAGATTACTTATCAATTTTTTTGAGTATAGCATGTTGCTTAAATTCATACTAGCACTTGAATTATAATTTATTTTGAAAATAATTTTATTAATAGTAAAATATTAATATTAAATTAATAATATATGTAATAAGAATTGTTAAATATTTCACTTTGTTTTTTTTGTTTTTTTTTTTTTGCCAAAATAATTTTTATACAAATCTAAAAAAATAATTTGTTTAAAATTAAAAGCTACTTCCTGTTGAACAATTTCTTAGGACTAGTAGTGTTTGAAAAAGAGCATATATTGCTGCATATTAAAAGATTTTTTAAGTCATTAACATGATTTTTACGACTTTTACTATGCGCTCAAGAAGCTTTTTTTTTTCTTTCAAGTTTTATCTGTAAGTAAAATTACATTAGATAAGTTCATTATCTTGTTTCAAAAAAGAGTTTGCATTTTTATAATGTCAATACCGATGTTAAACTCTAGTAAAAATTTATAGTCCTAAATATAGAAAATCAGAAAAAATTTATCTTTGATGTTTTTCAATGAAATAAAAACCACTTAGACCCCCTTACATAGAAAACATAGAGTCCATTTTCTGTTTGACGAAAACCTTTATAAAAATCAGAGAGATAAGTTCAGATAATAATTTAAATTTTTTTTTGCCCTTTTGGGCAAAATAGAAGCAAATCTATATCTTATAAATTTAAATGTAAAGCAAGATATGCATTTTCCTAAATTAACAGTCTTTTGTTTTGTATCCGATTTGCTCAAAGATTGAAACTGATTTCTATTCATTTCATGAATCTGGGGGCCTCTTTTTTTCGGTATTTCGCTTCTCGGAACTAAAATTAACGCAAAGGAAAAAAGATATCTTTCATCTTCATTTCGTGAACTCGATCCCAAAAATACTTTGTTTACCTTTTCCACTTCCAGGACATGGGTAAACCATTCTCTGGAATAAAAAAGAACATTTTCTGCACTGCACACACGAAACGGTCATATAACTCGAGATTCGTCGGCAATCACAAAAAGAAAGAAGAGATGCTGAAGATGAAACCTGATTCCTGATCCCTTGTGGTCTTTCAGAGAAGCTTCTTCTTCCAGCACATCCTCCTCTATTTCCCTCCAATTCCAGTTGCTCCTCAACATCTCTCGGAGTCGGTCGCGCGTATCTTCAGTTGGATTAGTTTTTCAGGACCCGGTGTTTGATAACACGTATCGCGTGAATCTGAGGAATCGCTTTGGCGAGATATGAGTGCTGCGGTCGCCGGGGGATCACCGGATAGTGGCCGGCATCGAAACCGGACTTATGATGTAGATCATGATGATGAGGATTCGAATCGAATGAAAACAGAACCCGATTCGGATATCAAGGTAAGGTGTGAAGTTTTTTTTTAAATTTTGTAGAAGGGCTGTAGATAAATTAATTCTTTTTAAATTGATTCAAACACTCGGCATAGGTTTAGGAACCCTTTCGCATTTCTTTGCGAAAGGGTTCCTAAAAATAACAAAAGGGGTGAAAAAATTTAGTTAACTCAGAGCATTAAAAGTGTTCCTTTTAAAAAAAAATTTGATCTTATTTTTATTCCGCCTATTTTATTTATTTCATTTTCAATTTTTTATAATTTTATTACTAGTTTGTTTCTATTTTTTTAATAATTAACAAACATGTTTGAATTTTCTAAACTAATTTTTTAAAAAGGTAAGTTTATTTTTGTCAAATTGATTCAAACATGCGGTATAATACTTTTCACAGCTCTTTGCCTAGCACCGAAAGGTACGGTAATGTTTACCGAAGCACTTTGGATTTACTTTTGGTAAAATTAACAATAAAATATGGTTTTATAATATGTGATGAAACTTGGTAAATGTGATAAGATTTAATAGTTTTATCATGATACCTCAGAGCATGGCATAAAAACCATTTATTCAGTTACATTTAATTTTCAGTGTTGTATTTTTTACTAAATGTGTCGTAATAAGAACTATAATTTTGAAAACCAAAATTTTCCGGGAAACCGTTACTATATATACTGGAAAACTACCAAATTAATGGTTTAAATACCATATATTTTGATTACAATTAACTAAAATCATGTTTTTTTAACCAGAAATATCATTATACAGTACAGTAACTTTAGTAGAATTTTTTTTCCTTCTTGTAGTGTATATTTAAAAATAATTTATTTTTATTTATTTGGTTCATTTTTTAAAATGTTTATAAAATTATGGTATACACTTGCATTCATTTCTAAACATTAAATAATTTTATTTTTAGATAAAATAAAAATTATGATATAATTCAAAATAATCTTCTGCCATTTAACATAAAGAAACATTTTAAAAAAAGGTATGTTGTATTCATGCACATCACCGAACTTGCATAAAGCCCTAAATTACCTAGATGTCTAAGTATCCAGGGTTTTAATTTAGTAAGGTTCCTTTTGTAATGCATATATTAAACACGAAAAGTAATGCTGTTAATGCAATGAATAAGCTTAATTGACCGCTAGAAGTTTATTTTAATGCTTATGAATTATTATTTTTTTGAAAATTAATTGATAGCAATTCAATTGAAAATTAGTTGATTTCAATTCAAATAATTTTTCTGCATCTTGAATTCTAGAAATTGAATTTAGTGATTAAAGAAAATTTTGCAATAATGGAAATCTCTAACCATGATTTCATCGCATTCGTCTTCTATTCTTCTTGTGAATCAGAAATTAATTCAAAAGCTAATTTTATTTTGTATTTGAAGGAAATTTCGAAACTTTTTTCCCCCAAAAATATAAATTAAGAGTTTTTCTTGAAGTTTTGTATCGAACTCAAAAGACAAGGTAACATTATTAAACATGGTCAAACATCTGGATTTAAAAGTATCCAATCGCTTTCTAATTTAGTACAGAGGCGACGAACCGCGAACTCTTAATCTACCAACCAATGGGAATATTTTTTTATCAGCTCTCTAGCTTGTGTTGACAAAAATTTCAATTACGGCGAATCATGAATTTCTGTAGTATTGTTTAAAAGATAAAGTATAATTTTTCTTTTGTATTTGTAATAATATTATACATTATATTATTATAATATTATAATATTATACATTACATTTGTAATAATATTATACATTGTAATACTAATGTAGCTAATATTGTAATATTAATATTAGCCACATTAATATTGCTATGCACGGATTGTTATATTATACAGCTTGGATCACTTGTGCACAATTAAATATGTTTAATGTTATCCTGAATGGGGTCTGGAGGCAATTAATAAACAATTTAAGGCATTGTATCAGTCATAAGGTAGGCCTTCCACAGATAGGCCTTCGTCCAGCCTGTTGATGTTAAGATACTAAGCCATCGTCGGCCAGGCCTTAATTCGGAAACTTTCAGTAATGTTCGAATTCTGTTGTGTCCAAAGAAAAATAACTTTTAAAAAAAATAGTTACGAATAAAACTTACTACTTTCTTTCTTTCATTTATTTCCTTTTTTTTAGAAAAAAAAATTTTAAGTTCACAAAAGCAGCTTTATTTGTCTTTGGAAAACATTTACATACCAATTGAAATTATTCAAATTAAATTGTCAACAGAAATGATATATTGCTTTTCCGAATTTGTTCCTGTTGAACATTTCCCTTATCAACTTTTTCAATGTATGGTAGATTAATGCATTATATTAAATTTTTTCATTATTATTTTTATTTATATTTTCTAAATAGTTGGTTTTTCAGCAATTTTACTTACATATTTTTTATGCAATGGGGAAATAAATACAGTGATAGTATGGGATTCCGTTTATTAACTTCAAACTTTGACTAGGAATGCAAGCCCATTTGTTTTCATATTTAACTCGAATCCCACGATCTCAAAGTTTTTCAGTGATTTTTATCGATATTATTTATATCAAAACTTCTTTTTTTAATTCTATTTTTTAGTGAGATTTTGTTTAAAGAATAGTTTGTCCTGCTTATTTAGAGAATTATTTTCGACTTTTATTTGATTTTTTTTTTACTTTCACAACGGAAGAATCCCCCACGTCCTTTAAAAATGGCGTACCTTAAGTTTTCCGTTTTAGATCTAGCAAAAATATAATTTATTTTCTCCTTTTCAATTTAAAAAACGGATTTATTGAAATTTTTATTTTATTTCAGTTCTATGCATTAACTAAAATATCATATTTTTACTAAAAACATCGCGTAATTTCTAAATTAAAAAGCAAATCGAAAGAAATATTCATTGCTAACAAGTTCTAAAAATCAATGTTTGTACAAAACGTTGCCACACTGTTACAAATTTAACGTTTTTTGAAACAAATATATCTATTTTTTATAATAACATCTGGATTGCAGTATTTAGGTGTAAAGAATCAACTTACTTTGGCCCAGGTACAGATGCTATATTTAACTCACTAAAAAGTTAAATGGCAGAATAATCCCTCACTCGATGACATACGAATAATGAGGTAGAAACTAATTCGTAATCATCAAAATTAAATAATGTAAGACGTAAAGAAACTATTCACGCAACGTTTACTTCTTTTTCAATTAATTTAATTTTCTAAATATATATTTAACAATTAAAATACTAAAACAAGTTTTATGAATTTCTTAACAAGTCAATATTTAAATGCAAGTAACTTGAAGAAATGGAATGGATGAAGATTATTAGAGGTCGTTCATTATTGATGTTTTTTTTCTCAATATTTTTGACCCCCCCCCCTTCCCTTTTATCTCACTTCACTGTACTTGTCACATGAAATCACAGAAACAAACGATAGATTTTTAAAAAAAACATATCATAAGTTTCCGTTTATTTTTCAAATTTTATTTTTAAATTGAATGGCATCATAATTCTTTATAAATACTGATAAAAAGTTAAATGGCAGAATAAGCCCTTATAAATATTTATGAAAGGTTAAGTAATAGAATAATCTCTCATAAGTATTGATAAAAAGTTAAATGGCAAAATAATCCTTCATAAATATTGATGAACAGTTAAATGAATAGTTAATAGTAGTTTGATGAATAGTTAATAGTAGTTTGATGAATAGTTAATAGTAGTTTGATGAATAGTTTAATGAATAGTTAATAGTAGTTTGATGAATAGTTGAATGAATAGTTAATAGTAGTTTGATGAATAGTTGAATGAATAGTTTATAGTATAATCTTCCACTCGATGGCATACGAGTAATGAGGTAGAAATTAATTCGTAATCATCAAAATTTTAATAAAAATTTAAAAAGCAAAAAAAAAATATATTCAAGCAACTTATAATTCTTTTTCAATTCATTATAATTCTTTAAATATATAATATTTAGCAACTATAACACTAAACAACTATGATATTTACAACTATAACACTATAACACTTTTTCAATATTTTTAACCCCCTTTGTCACACTACACAATACACCCTTGTTACTTGTCATGCTATATTAAAGAAATATATGCTGGGAGCTAAAAAAAAATCGCATGTTTCTGATTATATTTCATTTTTAAAATTTAAATATGTGCGTTTTAATGAGATTTGGAAGCATAATAATAATTAGATGTGTACTTATTTCGATGAAAAAAGACGACACAAAGATAAAAACAAACATTATAAAAAAGTATTTAATTTGCTTATTTTATGTGTTTAGAATATGTGTGATATCACACTTCGTTTAAATCCTTCCTTTTCCTTGGTCACTAACTGACACAATTTCAGAAACGCTTTCTTTTCCCACGAAGCTTGGCATCATTTGTTGAATTTCCCTTATACACATTTTAGTGGATCCTCTCTCTCTTTTTCAAATTTTAAACTTATCCCATAAAATGGCATAATTTATATTTATGATGCAAATTTTTATATTTATATAAAAATATCATTATTATATTGAGTAACAGATACTATTGTAATTGCTTAACATTATATTCTACTGGCCGATGTACATACATAAAGGTAAACAAGTTTTATAATTCTTTTGATTCGCGCAACTAATAGACTCAACTTTATGACAGCTCTTCACTGCTAAACTATTGGCTTTACTAATTCTTAAATCATTTATGCTAATGACTAGCTATAATTAATTAATAATTACCATTATGCTTAATGTGCGACTGAAATAAGTAGAAGATTGAATATTATACAGAATTATCGGATTCTTTTTTGTTATGCAATAAATTCAATATAAAACTATAAATTTACTGGAAATTATGATTTGTTATGTTTCAAACTTATGTGATGGAAATATCCGATGCAAATCAATGTATCAAAATATGTTCTATCTTATTTATTATAACATATTATTGTTATACTTCAGTCGCATTAGAGATGAAAATAATTCTCATATTTCCTTAAATGGGGATAAAATATTTTCTTCATCGTTTT